TCGTTGGATGGACCGAGTAACGCAAGGTGCTAAGTATTACTCGGAAGAAATCAAAAGCATAGAGATAAGATAATTTATTTTCTACTCTTAACAATTGCAAAAGTACCTGAGTAGTAAACTCTGATCCGTGAAACTTTGTTCCCTTAATGACGAACTCATGCCACCCATATGCATGTTTGGGAAGTGCCTAGGCCGACTCCCGGTGCTTTGGGGCTATGACTAGTCGGGCAGAGTATTTAAACGTAAAATAGGAGAAATCAAGATTGACAAGAGGAGAAATACATATTTATAAACATTTTAAAATACTTGAATTTTTTTTAGTATTATATGTACATCAGATACTACTCATCCTATATGTTTGTTCTGCAGGATCCAGATCCAAATACGCATAAAAGGGATTCATGGCTTTAAGCTTATCTCTTACACTCCAGGAATGGATCAGTCAGAACATCACCACCGGCTTGCCGTCGTCGCCACCGACTGGTGTCTTCGCCTATACGGTTGGTTGGTCACACCACCGTCGTTAGGCGTCTACATATTCACCGCCGGCTTGCCTTCACCGCCGCCGACTGGTGTCACTGCCTGCACGGCTAGCCTATTATGCTGTCGTTGTTGCGCGTCTACGTCTTCACCGACCGGCTTGCCTTCACCGCTGTCGACTGGTGTCTTCGCCTACATGGCTGGCCTATTATGCCGCCATTGTTGGGTGCCTACGTCTGCTGCCGACTGGTTTCTTCACTTCCATGGCTGCATGGTTCTGCCAGTGTTCATTGGCTTTATCGTCTTCACCGCCGGTCGTCTCGTCTGCTGTTGACTGGTGTCCTCGCCTCTACAGCTGGTATATACCGCTAGCACTACTGATGGGCGTCATCGTCTTCATTGCTGGCCGTCTTGTCTGACGCCGACTGGTTTGTTCACCTCCATGGCTGCGCGTCTTCGTCATCATTGACTGGCAACATCGTCATCGCCAGTTTGCCTTCGCTGCTGCCCATGGTGTCTTCACTTTCACAGCTGGCCTATTTTGCCACCGTTCAAGGACGTCTTCGTTTCCATCATCATTCAGCTTCTTCCGTCGCCGTCTGGTTACGCCATCGCCGACTAGTGTTTTTATCTTCACGACTACGCATCTTCGCTATTGGTTTGCTTCTGTTGCCGCTGACTCGTGTTCACTTCATCACGGCTATGCACTTTGTCACCATGGTGGAGCGACTTCATCTTTATTGTTTTCTTCATTGGCAAACTCTATTGCCTCCACTTTGCAAGATTTGCTACTTCACCAACCACAACGTCGGCAAGAGCTCTGACATCTTGGCATGCGTCACCAAATATGATGCCGTGTTATTTTACTACAACAAGTGGTATTTCAATATTCAATATTTCTACTTGGACATCTTTAACACGTATCTTCACTCAAGCAATGACTACTTGACGACAAAAAACTACAGTTCTCGACTCTATGTTCAGTTGTTTCCCAACTAACCAAAGTGTCGGGGGCTACACAAATACAAGACTCTCAAAATTCGACAAGCTGAAGCAATCAATTAATCAGCCAACGAGTCAACTCCAGGAGTTATCAGTTTTGTCTTCGCTTTAGAGCTGGCGTTCTACTTGAGTAACTCCAATTATTTCACTAGAAATTTTGGCTTCTCCAAATTTTTCAAGTATCAAGTTTGAGATTTTATCTACATGTCTGGGCGTTTGTGGAGTTATCAACCAATTAACACAGATTCAACGAGTTAGACAGCATCATCTACTTTCCTCCAAGTGAAGCATCTCCAACAGCTACAACATTAAGTCTTCATAAATCAAGAAGCGTTGCATCAGTCTTCTTTATACACACGCTCGCATCAAGGAAACTACTCGAGCTTTGATATCTTCTCGACAGTTTGATGGATTATTGTCACTGACATCATCACCAGCACCTCTACTTCGTCGGCCCTGACGTCTCCGCCATTGCTAATGTATGGCTACGTTTTCACCTCCGGCTGCTTCTGTCATTGCCGACTAGTTATTTCGCCTTCATGGTTGACCTACTACGCAAATGCTGATGAGCGTCTTCGTCATTATCATTGGCTGCTACACTTCTATTGACTAGGTCACCGACATCGTCATCATCATCAACATCCTGTCAAGCTTATTTAACATAGCCAACTCTACTGCTATTGGTGGGCAACTTCAACATCATATTTGATCATCTCTGTTGCTGTTAATCGTCATTACCGTCGGTTGCGTTTGTCGTCGCTGACTATTTTCTTCATCTTCATGTTTGACGGATTTCGCCATTGCTGTTGGTGTGCGTCTACGTCTTCATTGTCGGCTTGTTCTCGTCGTCACCGATTGCTGGCTCGTCGGTCACAGACTGATTATCTCACCACCATGGCTGCATAATTGTGTCGTTGTTGCTGGATGCCTTCATCTTCATTGCTGGCTGACTTGTCTTCTGTCGACTGGTTTCTTCGCTTCCACGGCTGTGTGACTTCATCACCTTTGATTGGTGTCATTGTCTTTACCACCACCAACATTTTCGTTAGCTTTGATGGGTGATATCATCTTCATGTTGGTCATTTCGTCTCCATGCCGACTGCATCAGCTATCATCAATGGACAATTGTGACTACTACAGAGGGATAATCTACAAGCTTGGGGGCTCATCAACGCAAACGCGGGGATTATATCTTCAATTTAGACTTGTTCTGGATATATTCAACATGGATTCATGGTCATGAGTTGATTTCTCATGCTCAATGACTGTACCACTCATTATTCCCCGTGAGGGCCATCAGCTGAGTACTTGCGCCAGTCGGGATTTTAATTATCATATCTACTTTGGTATTCTCCATGAGGGATAATTACTCGGATCAGAAGCCACTCAGATGAGAGCAGTTGATCTACATCACTTGGGAGATTTGTCACTCGGGAGCATATTAATTGGCGTGTTCTATACATCATATTTTAAGGGTATCGGTAGATATACTTTAGGTCTAGGCCTAATACGTCTGCATCCCATATTTTCAGGTGTGGCCTGTCACGTTCTTTTAGGGACTTAGGCATCTTTTTGCTTAGGCAAAAGTGCGCGTGATTATGTGCCCAATACCTTAAAATCCTTTTATACCGTAGTTACTCAACTTTTTTGGAGTTGGTACAATGCATTTTAAAAGGTGCCTCACAGTAAAGCTTTATATAGCTGCCTCACTGGCTTTTTTATATAGTCAAGGCGCTATTTGGGTTTATCAAGCAATTGATCGGATACTATATTATTGCTTTTTGCCACGTAAGTGTGCATTTTTATTGACTAATATTATGGCTTAGGCTGATTATATATTGTGGTCATTTTCCAAGCGGTTGGTAAATCCTTTATGAGTTTATTTACTCGGATTTTACACCATATATGCTATATATTTCCAGGTGTGGTGAAACCATGTGTGTTTTAGAGACTTAAGCACATTTGTTAAAGCAGTGTGCGCATGGTGTATGCCCAATACTTTGGAAATTTCTTTATTTAAAGCATACAAGCTTTTTTATAGCTGTTTTGTTATGTGAATTTTTAATGATGTAGTCAACTTTAGGTTGTTCGCATCAATTTTTACAAAGTAGTCGGTATATCACTTAGATCATGTTATTTGGGGGATTCACACCACATATGCTATATATTGATATCAAGTCACTTGGTTGACTATAATTATCAAAACCATTCGGTTAGTTGGATTATTTATTCCTTGACTATATGCTTAGTTTGTTCAACTAACCACATATAGTCGGGGGCTACACCTATTAGGTGCATCTAGTTGATGCAGCTGACTTTATTTTTCAGCCTTCCACAATCTTCAGATTTGTTAAAAGTACTCGGGAGACCATATCGAAGATGATTGAAGCACTCGGCTTTGGAGAAATTTGGTTCGAGACAAGATTATCTTTGTTAAAAGTACTCGGGAGACCATATCGAAGATGATTGAAGCACTCGGCTTTGGAGAAATTTGGTTCGAGACAAGATTATCTTTTCGACTGTGAAGGTCTCAGGGGCTACTGTGGAGATTATGGGTACCCCATACCCACACGGCATGGTCCTTCCTTTTCTTCTTCGTATCTCTTTGTGCTTGTCCATTTAACTCGGTTGAAGGAATCCACTATTAGTTCAGAAAAAACTTCAAACTTTCCATTTAGCAGGCGCCTGTCTCTGTGGAGCTGCGGTGCCAATATTACTGCTTCATCTGAATTTGTTCTTGATTCCTTCGAAATAGTAATTTTGACCTTTTTTTATGTAGAGTGTTCTCCCAAAAAAACAACTACTATGTGTGTTAATTTTAATTAGTGTGTTAATTTAAATTAAAGTTCTTCCAACTGAATTTGAATACTCACGATCGAGTATGTAATATCGTAATAATTGAAATGGTATGAGGATTGGTTGTTGGCACTGATCAAATTATTTCGTTCATGGGTCTGACAAAAATATATATACTAATATAAAAAGGAGACGAATTTGCTATATATTTGTCGACAAATTTTCCTCCAAAAATTTGTCAGATGTAATTACAGTACAATCATAGTGTAATTACACTGTAACTTGCATGTAATTACACTGTAACTATAGTGTAACTTGTATATAACTTTCAAGAATCTCTCGTTAACATGTTATTTCGGTAAAATAGAGGTCGTGGGAACAAATCCTTTCACATATATGTGTGCTGTGATTTTTTTTCTTCCTTACCAAAACAAATCTTGTAATAGATCTAACGATTAAAAATTACGTGAAACTTACATACAAGTTACACTGTAGTTACATAGAAGTTACAGTGTAATTACACTACGATTATACTATAATTACATCTGTCAAATTTTTAGGAAAAAATTTGTCGACAAATATATAGGTGGTCCCAAAAGGAGGAGTTGTGCCTGACAATCCTACAGGTGAAATCAACCCCTTTCATCTCATCCGTCCATCTGCCATCTCATCTCATCTCATCTCAACCATCAATTTGTTTCGCTATCCTCCTCGCTCCACCGATTAGCTACCTTATCCTCTCCACCGCCGTCCACGCGCGATTCCTCCCCTCCACCCGCGCCATCTCTGCCGCGCACCCCGCCTCTGCCGCATTCAATCCACCGTGCATCCGCACAGCAACGACAAATCCTCAAAACGAACGCGCCTCTCCCCGCCACCGCGCATCCATCCATCCATCGGCACCGGAGGTTTCGCCGGAGCTATCGCATCTCCCATTCTTCCCCTCCCCTTTGTATATCCTCCTCACTCCAACACGGCGCCGGGCACCGGTCCTCCTCGCGGTCTCCGCCGTCGCTGTCCATCTTCCACCGGTAATACCCGCCGCTGCCTCCTCCACTCCGCCCGCATCGCCGTCCAATCACCGCGCTGTCACGACACGATTCGACCTCAACCACGGCGCTGCCTCCTGCACTCCTGCCACTCAGATGTCACCCACGTGATCCGGCCCTCAAGCCCGATGTGGCCAGCTGATCTTATCCCCTCCCCCATCAGTGAAGGTACAAAATCATTTTACTCTTCCTATATTTTGTGAAGTCAAATTCTGAATCTACAATGAAAATGATGTTTGATCTGTGTTTTCCCTTTTAGTTTAGTCGTTTCATCTTGATCTACAACAAAAGCTAGATATTGAGTTATGTGCTGATCATTTTACATGTCTGAGTGCCTCCCAGTCTATTTTCAGGATTATTAGGGACAAAAGGATCATTGATTCTCATGTCCAAAAGGTGTTCGATGAAATGCTGGTTAGTCAATATTATTCCCCAAGCATATTTCAGTTTGCAAAGTGGGTATGCTATATGCACTATTTTTTTCTTCAATCGATTTTTAGCACACTTTTACTTTGTTTCTGTTTTGTAGCTAATAGATGGTTCGTTGGACATGATTTGTTCCTTGACATGATCAATGTGTTGCCCAAGCTCCAGATGACACGGTATAATGCTTCTGCTCTGGTCCTGAGGCCTGACTATTGCTGCCTATGCTGAGTTCTAATAAAAAAATATAAGTGTTTTGGAAGACTGCAAGGACCATGGATGCCATTCGTTGTTGGGGCTTATCCCATAGTAAAAATGTAAACAAGAGCTTTGGCAAGGTTAGTTGTCACTAATTTCTCTTCCATGATTTTGCTGCACTTGCATGTAATTTCGAGGATTGGGTTCAATCCATATCGTTTAGTGTGTGCAGCAAAATTCAAGTCAGCTTGTAGCATGAAACATATGTAAAGGTGCCTTGAAACAAAGGACAAGGATAGGTGCCTAATCACCCATATTAGCACCTACGCAATATGAATGATTGAGAGTAATTTTCTCTAGGTAGAAAATGTGCAGTACATGGGTTTGTTGTATTGTTTAGTTATATGCTTTTGGAAGCTTTTTCAAAGTTGTTCCCTTGGCGATACATTTAAGTGTACCTGCTGTTTATATTAATTATTTTCTCTCAACACACTTAATGACACTAATGATTTGTAAATTGCGAATATCATTATTTTCTCTGCTGATATTTGCATCCTTCATGTCAGTGGCAGATGCTCATGGCATGTGTGATATGGAGTTAGGCATGAAAAAATTATAAGATTACTGTGATGTTTAGTATTGCTTGGAGTGACTAAATCGGATTAAGTGATTGACAAATTGGCAAATAATTGATATTAATAGAGTAGCTCACTCCATTTTATCTGACTTTTTTTTCTTAGGGGTAATCGAATGCCTATGTCAAATTTGAGTTCATGTATATTTATACCTATTTGTGACTTCTATTTGGCTTTCTCTATTGAATATCAAGGAGCCCTTATTCTTTATTGATAGTACTCATGTTACATGGTGGAATGCATTTTCAGGGCAGGTTGTATTCCAAAGTAGGTCTTTGTGCTGCCCAGTTGTATGTTTCAGCGTCATATCGCTCTTATCTGGTGATTTCTGGCCCATGTGAGCACTTTATTTCTTAACTCCGGTTTCTTTTTTCTGCCAACCAATTTCTTATGGGAAAATATCTTATTACTGTAATAAGGCAGTGTATCCATTTCCTAATCTTTTGATACAAATAGATGTTTGTGTTGGGTAGAGGATTCTTACATCCAAAAATATTTCGTGATTGTACCAGCATAGATATAGCCTTCGTGGAACAATCAACATTTTAGACATACAAAACCTATATTCCTTTCCCTCCCTTCATTATGTGTCAGTTCTTAAAAAAATGGATAGTTTAATTGTTGGTTCTGTACAATATGGTAACAAACTGCTCCATGGCATCCTGAAAAGGGTTGATTTCCTTCTATTCACATTTTTATTTTCATCAAGGGAAAGATTCAAACTACCTCATTATTCTTTCCTTTTTTTTTTGTTTTTAAGCAATTTTTGTATGAACTACCCATACATAGTTGTGCACATATTTTGCTACTATTCTAGCTTGTCAAGGATATGAACTCTTATCAATGCCAGCATTGAGTGCAGCTGTTTGGGTTTACAGGACAAAGAAGATAGAGGGGAGGGGCAAAAGAGAAAAGCCCGTGGAAAATGGGCTGGCGCCTCATTGAGCCAGGTTGACGCAGTACCATGCCTTATAATTGATAATGTACGCACTTTTGTGTTTTTTTTCAATCATTGTCTCAAATGAACTAGCAGCTTCGATACGCCAGTTCACACTATTGTAAATTTGTAATGCGTATCGAAGGTAGTGTGATTCACCCGAAAGGATTTTATAGGAATCATCCAAATTGACATGTTACTATGGTGTATGAAACTCTATTTTTATCTCGAGATTTTGTTGGAGTGTACTGCCTTTCTAGGTCACTATTGTTCTCTCTGTACACACACATAATACTAAAACGTGCCTTGCACGTGCACGATAACTAGTATATATAGAGAACCAGTTTGACATCGAATGGTTTGGAGAATAGAACTGAACAAAAATGAATGTCCAAAAAGAATTGAACTCGTCGTGGCATGGATGAAATTTTCTCACAGGTTTCTCTCAGTGGTCAATGGATGGAGTATGACTGAGTTTTCCATGGTCGATTTGGTTGGTTGCATGAAGAAAGGCACCGAGCATAAGAAGCAGTTGTTCTCTGAACTAGTAGTTTTCTCCGAGTATGAGATAGTTTTATCAGTATAGTTTTGACCCTTGCAATAGTTGGATCACGAGCCAGCCACCGGTTGTACCGTCCTTAGCATTGCTGGTAAGATACTTGTAAGAGCTTGATAAGATATTTCTATTTGTTAGCCTCCATTACAATCCATATTTTGTAGTTAATAGGGATAATACTATTATGTTGTTCTCTGTTTTCTACAGACAATGGCAGGTATTCTACAGACAATGAGAAAAAGTTAGATGGGGGACAAACCATAATTGCTACATCATTGCAGAGGGAAGGGCGCCGCCGTTGCCTCTATATGGGGAGCCTGCCACTTCCCCTCCAGCCAGATCTGGCGGATCAGAGAGGGTCATCGCCATCGCCTGGATCCGTCGGCTAGGAGAGCAGAGTAGTCATCTCTGTTGCCGCCACGGTGGGGAGGAGGCACGGTGGAGGCAGGTGGGGAGAGGCCGCGGTAGGGGGCGGGTGGGAGTGTGTCTAGGATGTGGAGGACGGAGGAGAAGGGGGTGAGTGCGGCAGCAGTGTGGAGGAGAACTGTGGGGATAATGCTGACTGGGAGCAGATAAGGTTGGTTGGTTCGGTCGGCACCTTCTGGTTTTTTTAGTAGGTGTTCATTTTTAAATAAACTAATACCTATAATATGAGTGTATGTGTAGGTTCGTAAAAACTGGGACCTATAATATATTATAGGTGTCGGCTCTTCTGACTGATAGTAATACTATAGGTGCCGATTTTTATCGAGGGTGCATGTGTGGGCAGAAAAAGCACTATAGGTGCTGGTTTTAGCTATCCTGACACCTATAATACCATCTTCTTTGTTTCTCTCTGTAGTAGGGAATGTCATTACTATTACTTTGTCACAATGTTAGTTTACTTTATGTATTTCTAAATAAATATTCATATATGTATGTTGCTGATGCCATGGGTAGGGAAGCAAAGAAATAACAAGCTTTATGTTGTGCACTGATTCTTTTCACATCAATATATTTGTGTCTAATTGCTGTGTATAAACTTTGAGATTTTTTATGGTCAAACGGTACCGTACGGTACCGAATGCTGGTTGTTGGATCTAGCCCAATCTAACGGCTAGTATTGTTTGGTACAGCGAGTTACCAAAATTATCCTTGATGCGGTACCTCTTGGAAAACAGAGTTAGAAGGATAAAAACGTAACTTCGCGTGCAATAGATGGATTGGGAGGAATCGAACCCTGGATCGATGCCTCCACCGCCTCCTGGATCTTCTCCGCCGACTATTGGAGGTGAACTCAGCCGCCGCCGCCGCTGCCGGGAAAGACGACATCGACGCCATCGCCGCCACCGGGAACGACGACATCGACGCCGCTGCAGCCGGGAACGACGACATTGACGCCGCCGCCGCCGGGAACGACGAGTTTGACGCCGCCGCGCCTGCTTCAACGCTGCCGTCGGGAAGGACTCCGCCACCGCTGGGAACAACGAGTTCGAGGCCGCCGCCGCCGCCGCCGGGAACCACGACATCGACGCCACAGCAGGACGACTTTAGCAGTCCACACGTTTTTTTCTTCCGATCCTACCCATGCCGGAATGAACGGTTAGATACGTACTAGTACCGAGCGATACCAGTACCGAGCGATACAATTTGCTGGACCATAAAGACGCTCATGAACATTACTTCCTTTCGCTACGTTGGACCTATTTTTCATTTCATGGTATTGTGTGAGACATTGGCTCAGAGAGAGTTCGGTTAATTAATGAACATATCTTCTTCTTCTTCTTCTTCTTCTTCTTCTTCTTCTTTTCTTTCTTTCTTTTTTTTAGAGAGAAACTGCTGTTTATATAAGTAGCAGACACCTATTTGAGCTCGTTCGGCCTAGCAGCTACACGGCAGAGCATGCAACTCATCAGAAAATTGCTTGACCTGGCTAGACAGAAGATGGGGACTAATCGGAACTGAAATCTGAAGGCATCAGGGGTTTACCGGAATGCTGGCCAGTTTACCTGAGCCTTTAATTTTTTTCATGATCGATCCATTGCATGCTGGTTTTTGCAGCTGGTCGGAATGGAAAGCATGTGGGATTTGAGACGCACCACGCATCTGAAATGTCCAGCTCTGCAACTAGTTTTGCATGGAAGGTGATTCCTATCGAGATAGGTATACAGGCCAACACAATAGGTGATTTTCTCATGTAGCCAAACCTGTAAACAATCGAGCCTCAGCTCTCTTGCAGATGTTGGTAGGAGAAGGGCTGCAAACACTCCGCTGCTGCATTGGTTTTCCTTGTCTTGCTGTTAGAGAGAATATAGGGGCAACATATTCTATGTACACAGGTCCTCAAATGTACACACATGCACACCAACTAAAAAATATTACCAAAAAATCTAGAAAAATTCATACACGTACTTTCAATTGTATTACACCTAGGGTTAAAATCTTAACCTCAAATTCATTATATTTTAGCCGTAACAAAAAAACCAAAAAATCTGACAGTTTTAAGGTTGCAATTTTCTCAGAATTTTATCTTTTTTGTTATTCTCTATGTAGAATGAATTTGAAGATGCGACTTTGCACGTATATGTAATACTATTGAAAGTACATGTATGAATTTTCGTACATTTTTTTGTGATAATTTTTAGTTGGTGTACACGATGTGTACACGCGAGGGTCTGTGTGTATAGGATACGCTCCCGAATATAGGTCCTTTTCGTTGGATGATTTTAATTTTTGTTCAAACTGACTGCTGAAATGATATCACTGCCTAATCGTCGTTTACTGTCTATATATTGCTAATTATTACTTTCGTTGTTCTTATGTTTACATTTTAAATGAATTTAGACACACATATGAAACACATGCATAATCCATTTATAAATCTACTCAAAACCCAAAAGATCTTATAATGTGAAAGAAAGAAGTACGTGGTAGTACTTGTACTATCCGTGTGACAAATAAGTAGAACCATGAATGAATAGACAGTACCAAATCATTTCATAAACAGGCTGAGTTCGGCACTTGAGTTTTCCAACTCACTCCCCTCATTTTCTGCACATATGCTTTTCAAATTAGTAAACGTGTGTTTTTTAAAAAAAAAATTCTATATGAAAGTTGCTTTAGAAAATCATATTGATCCATTTTTTAAAAAAACTAATACTTAATTAATCATATGCTAATGAACTGCTCCGTTCTACGTGCAGTAGCGGCCGGTTTGTTCCCGACCACAGCTGCTGAATGCAGTCTAAAATGCGTGACATCACCTAGCAGTCGTGTGTATATTGGTTAAAAACACTGTTATGCACCTTTTGATTAATCCTACTTTGTTATTTGTATTATAAGCTTAACAACTAGATAGTTGGCTCCTGGATTCGATTTTGTTTGTGTACAGTTTTCATCACCGGAGACAATGATATGTATGATTACTCAAATAGTCTGGAAATTATGTTAGTTTGCATGCGCTTACTTTTTGCTAATCATTATATTTTTCAGTTTCAAATCGGCAGGTTATTTTATTATTATAACCAAGAAAAACAATACATGTATAGATCCTTATCGAGATGGTCAGAGTTGCTGCTTTTTTACATGGCCTAAAAAGTATATATCGTGTGGAATACTGATCTTCTAATCAAAATACACGCACTAGCTGAGTTGTGGCACCTATACATATATTTATGAGTAAAGTGCATTAACGGTCCTAACTTTTAGAGTTGTGTCATATAGCTCCTAAATTCTCAAAATGCATATCCAGATCCCAGAATTTGTCAAAGTATATCATCTAGGTCCTAAATCGACACATCCCCTCTAGAATCCTACGTGGCGCTGATATGGCATGCCACATGGATGTGATGTGTTCTTTTCCTTTTTTTTCTTCTTTTCTTTTTCTTTTTCTTCGGTTTCTTCTCACTCTTCTTTTGCCCCTTTCTTCTGCTGCTCGAGACACATAGAAATGAGAAGAAAGGGAAAAAAGAGAATAGAAAGGAAAAAGGAAAAATTTTAAATGGGACCCATTTGTCAGTCAAAATGATGCTACGTCATTCCATGTGGCAGGCCACATCAACACCACGTAGGATCCAGAAGGGGTGTGGCGATTTGGGACCTAGATGACACACTATGACAAGTTCCGGGACTTGAATTTGCATTTTGAAAGTTTAGGGACCTAGATGACACACCTCTACAAGTTTAAGGACTGCCTATACACATTACTCTATATTTATTTTCACATTCTCTTACAACTACATCATGTCAAGGCTTTAGTAAAACAACAATGTGCTACTATAGCCTCAAAAATGTAGTGTTGTGGTTTTCAGTAACACAAATTTTAAGTGGTCATATAGCCCATGTTACTGATGTAATATCACCATAGTCGGATCCTTTTTCTTTGTATGCACCGATAAATCTAGGTCGATAACCTCATTATCAAAGCACCTGTTACCCGTTTTGTACCAACTTGCATGTCCCATTAGGGGCAACTGTCCAAGTCTACATATTCCTTACGACACTGTACACAGTGATTTACACACACGTGAATTTTTTCAACACCTAGTGATAATGGACATATGTGTTTCTTAGCTTGACATGTGTTGGATTACAAGAAATTAGGCTTAGGAAGCAAACTCTAAGATCCATCAAATCATTGAAACTACCATCGGACCATCCGTGCCTACCCTTCAATCTGAGAAGTTTAAATGCCAAACGCAACACCATAAAATTCTTATTACATCCCTTGGATTCATCGTAAAAAAAGATCCTTCGCTGACTTCTTTAGCACCTTCCAATTGTCTAATCCTCGTGCTGTACCGACTAGCTAGCACCTCTGATTCAGCGTGCCGTAGCGTATCCTCCTGATCAAAATCAACCTCGAAATTATCACTACCAACTCAATTGTAAAATTCTCTACCTCAGACATTTGAAAACCTCTTCACTTCTGCATTACCGTCACCTTCAAGAGTGACAATTTCCTTGTGATAGGTCCAAACCTTGTAATTCTTCATAAAATCCATGCTCCACTAAGTGGCCCAAAATTTTACCTCAAAGCATGTGCCTTAGCCTAGTCAATAAATTTAGATGCTTCCATTATGTACGTCGAGTGAGTTTTTCATGTGTCGTACATCTTTTCTTGATACATCTATAAATAATCATACCGGGAATAAAATTTGTTGACACGTGTTTCCACCACAACATGAAAATACACATATCTCCTCAAGAATGATACATTGAAGTAGTATGAACTAGTGCTTACAATAAAAATTTGCCAATATAAACATTCTATTTTAGCTAAAATTTGCAACTACAGCTCATAAAAAATCCCCTCCTAAAGCTGCGAAAAGTTGTCTGCTACAATGGCAAGACTATGAAACTTCTATCAGGAACATGTATAACTGCGAAAATGAAAATCTAAACAATATAGAATGTTGATAGAAAATATTTGAGCAGGATAGAAAATATTTGAGCAAGTAAAAAAAAATCAAAATGGAGAGACAAAAAAGTAAGTCAATCTGCACTTTTAAAAAAAACTAGAGCGACAGGCATTGGTATCGGAGTCCAATCTTATACATGACAACTCACCAAAAAAGATCAAACATGTAGCATATGAAACAAGACGCATTATGTCAGGGTTACGGATAAGGTATACCCTCTACCCTTGGATATACGTCGTATACTGATATGATATGGTATACCTGCGCGTATATGGATGTTTTCTGTACACGTTAAGGAAATTCATCATGGAGTCCATAGATGGAAGGAGTCCTACTCGGACAAAACTGGGTCGTAACTGAATCGTGTGGGGTCCGATGTCTTCGAGTTCTACTGGGAGACCAACTGACCCGCGGTATAAAGGGGACCCCGGGAGGACCTAAGGCATCGAATCTCACCGCCAACACAACCACCACAGCTTACGAAGTCGGAGTCTTCAGTAGCCAAGTCGCTAGGGTGATCTAGTCGAACCAACTCGACTACGGTTGTCGACGAGTGATACCCGTAGACCGGATATAGAGGGTATTGGGATACGTTGGTACAAGGATCTACGTAATACGACATCAAGCAAACAGAAGACGAAGATTATACTGGTTCAGGCCCATTGATAGGTAATAGCCCTAATCCAGTTGATGTGGGATTATATGATGGAAAACACAGGTTACAAAGGGAAAGATTGAACTCGATGGATCCGGCGAGATCGTAATTGAGTTGGTTCGACTAGATCTCCAGCGATTTGGCTCCTGCAGGCTCCGACTTCGTAGGCTGTGGGAGTTGTGTTGGTTCTGAGATTCGATGCCTTAGGTCCTCCCAGTGGGTCCCTTTTATATCGCAGGTCAGGTGGTTTCTAAGTAGGACTCGGAGACATCGGACCTTACACGATACATTGACGACCCAGTCTTGTCCGAGTAGGACTCTTTCCATCTACAAACTCCGTGAAGGATTTCCTTAGTATATGCAGAAAGTGTCCGTATACGCGTAGTTATGCCATACCGATATTTAGCGTATATCGAAGGGTAAAGGGTATACCTAACCCGTAACCCTGACAGTGGCCCCCGACTTCTGCTTAAATGAACTCGTGTAACCATTAGTGACTTCAGGTGTCGAGGCTGTTGTCGTTCCCGGTGTAAGAACCGTAGAGACAGGACATAGTCGAGAATACCCTGTGAAGCCCAACGGTCATGAGTGAATTTAAACTGAAGTCTAAAAAACTGCCGCGCATAACGGACCCAGAAATTTTCGGCGGCTATGTCCCTCCTTTCCTTGGAATTCGCACCATCGGAAGTGTGTCTATTTAAGGGAATTTTGGGGATCCATTTTGAAGTCTGCCTGTTGTGAAGAAAACCTCCAGCCTGTAAGCGTTTTTCGTCTTCTCCGTTCCCACAAAAAACCCTAGCTCGTCAATCTCAACCCTTTCTCCAGCGATCTGCAGTCGGCGATGGATCTTGGAAAATCTTCCTCCACCAGCGCGTCGCTGAAGAAGCTTCAGGAGGACGGTGCCCTTCCCGGTCGTGGGACCATGGAGAGGGAAGCAGGATGTACTGAACCCCAGCCTGTCCTAGGTCGCATGGTTGCGATTGAGGACTACATTCTTTGCGGTTTTCTCCCTCCACCTTCCGAAATTCTTCTCTTGATTTTGAACTTCTATGGTCTTTCTTTGCTCCATCTGAACCCCAATTCTATTGCCTTTCTTAGTATTTTTTCGCATCTTTGTGAGGCCCACATTGGGGTAGAGCCCTTTCTTGATCTCTTGCGCTTCTACTACGAGCTGCG